CCCCAAAACCCCAAAACCCCAAAACCCCAAAACCCCAAAACCCCAAAACCCCTTTATATGCTTGAGAGTATATAATAAATATTTAGGAAACATGTCTTTTTGGGAGAAGATAAAAGTAGTCATCGTAATAGTCTATGTCCAGGTTACAGGAATCCTCTTCTATGGATTAATGATTTACGGGGTGCATTCGTTTCATTCTGCTCAATTAGCGATAAAGGAAACTCATACAAACTCTTGAAGTATTCCAGGCTACTTTTTCTACTGAGATAATACGAGCCTAATTCTGATGAACCAAAGTGAGCTAAAGTACATATCTTATGTGGATGAATCCTTCTGGAGAAAATATGCTTATGAACTATTTTATATGCCAGTCAACTTTTCTTTCTTTATAGTTATCATCACCTTTGGTATGACGAATAAAGGGCCATTTGATACTTGGATTATAAATTTTATCGGATATTTTATCTCCATAAGCTCATTGGTTGTAACAAGCAGAGATTTCTGATTAATCATCTTCAGAATGTTAGAAAATGGATTTCATACTTTGGTTCACACCCCTTTGTTTATTTGATCATCTTTGCTTTATGAGTTTACAATATTAGGAACTTTCATATTCATAGATTCCTCAAAAATATTGCGTTGTCCACAAGAAGAATGTTTGGCATGAACTGTAATTATCCATAGCCATATTATTCAAGGGTTATGCATTCTTGGAAGCTTCTTTATTGTACCATATTTTGAATTCTTAACAAATAATATTTACATTGTATTGTTGCAAAATTCATTTTGGATTACTTTGGTTATATACAGTTTTTGAACTAAGAAAAGACTACAGAATACAAGAGAAGGCATGAAATCTTGGTATGAATGGGTTGCAACTTTATGTATCAGCCTTTATCTATCATTTACTGTCAATTACTTCTATATTTTTGACAACAATTACCACTCATTATTAATAAAGGTATTGCTATCTTTGATACTAATAATAGTTCACCTTTTCTTTGTCAGCATTTACATGGTACATCAATCATATTTTTTAAATCCTTATATGAGCAATTATGAATCAACACAGGCTCATAAAATTTGAGAATTAAAACATATCTATGGAGGATATAATATAAATAAAGTAAATAATCCCATATGCCGATACTGAATGAACAGTCTATCCTCGCCACATCTAGAATATATCGATATTGATTCACAAAACCAAAGGACTTATAAGAAACTGAAAAGCTTTCCTCGAACTTACATCAGAACGTTTTGAGAATGAAACCTGCACTTAGAATGCTTCCTTAATTGATTAAAGTATGATTCAAGGTGTTTGGCCTGAGATACCTACATGAACAGGTTTTTGCAAAAAGGAGACAATTATTATGAAATTTTGCTGTAAAATTTACTAAAATCTTCAATATCTTCAACCTTAATGTATGGACTAGGGGTTTTGGGGTTTTGGGGTTTTGGGG